GGGAGGAGGGGATGAGCCCGCGTCTGGGCCTGGGGAGGGGGAAGTGGCGGGGAGGGCCGAGGGCGCCTGGGCTCACCCGGCTCGTACCGAGCCGACTTTTTGTTGAGAGCTTTTGGGGGGGGGAGATCGGGGGAGGGAGGGCGGTGGATTTGGGAGCCGGGCCGCCCGGCCTGCCGAGGCCGTTCTCCGGCCGGCGTCCTGGGAAATAACGAGCGTGGAATGGAGTGAGCCCCACCGTTCTTTGCTGAGGATTGCCTCTCTCTCTCTCTCTCTCTCTCTCTCTAGATGAAAGAAACGATCATGAACCAGGAGAAGCTGGCCAAACTTCAGGCCCAAGTGCGCATTGGTGGAAAAGTAAGTTTTTTGGGTTGTGCTTTTTTTTTTTTTTTTTTTTAGTTCCCCCTTGCGTTTCTCACTTGGCTTGGCAAGGGAAATCCGCAAAGCTAGCAAGTAAATCCAAGGGAGACGAGACAGATACAGAGAGACGTGGAGGCTGTACATGGGGGGGGGGGGAGATAATTGAATAGAGAAGAAAATAACACTTAATACGCTACTTTATTTGTGTGGTTGTAAGATTACACCATATAAACAGAAGAGAAATGTTTATTTAATTTTATTAAGGGGGGGAAATGTTCTCTCTGCCAAATCCTCTACCCTTGACTTACACAAAATTGGTGCCTCCCCCCCCCCCTTTATTTTAAGCTGTGCTGGAGAAAAGATACAGGTACATGCTGGGCAAGCTCTACTCCAGCACTGCATCCCCGGTCTCCCCTTTCTGTTGTTTATTGTTGAAATAAGTTAACCGAATGTCTTGTTTTTTCTGTTCTGCATAATGCTTACTTTTATTTTTGTAAATTAAGACCTTTCTGAACTAAATGCTCAACAAGGTAATTGTCCTTTTCCAGGGTATTTGAAGATACCTTCCTTAATTGGTGTATTTTTGGAATTCATGAACAGTTGGTGTTAGATTGGAAAATACTACCCAAGCACGTGTCTTTTTTGTAATTATCTTCTGGTGGGAGGAGGAAACTATTGGCTAATTGGTTACTCCTGGTGGGTACTGAGCTTAATGGAGACTCTTTACTGAACCTGGTGTTTGGTTCAGTAATGTGAAGTCCACTCCAGAGGAAGATCTCCTGGTTTCATGTGTTGTGTTAGCACATTCCTGGTGTTGGACAAGGTGTGGCAGCGTGTTGAATCAGAGCTTGTCTTTACTTGGTGAAGCTTGAGGAGCTTCCATAGGTCAAGTGTATTACCTATTAAATTGTAGTGACTTTAAACACTTACCTTCAGGAGAGTCTGCACATGGGTTAAATAAGACACAGCTCTGCTAAGTTAGTGGACTTGGCCAGCATAATAGCCTCCTGATTTGCCTTTGCTGACAGTTGTCTTCAGTTTCCATTCATGCTTTAACATTAGATGTGTCTTGTCCTTTACCTTAAGGCAGTACCTTCAGGTGCTAGGCGGGGCCTGTTTCAGTGTAGTTATAGGAGTGATGTGCTTGTGTGCAGGTTTTCTCTAATCACTGGGCTTTAACTTGGAGGGGCATCTCTAGGGAAAATGAAAGCCTTCCAAGTTAATCTGATAGAGGAGACTTTGTATCTAGTATTTGCCAAGACAAGACAAAATGTTTCCAGTCCTAATGTGGGAACATTTTTCTATACCTTTTCAGAAACCTTACAGTATCAGTGAGTTTTGAAAAAAACTTAGAGAAAAGCGGTGTTAGAGTTACATACTTTTAGGGGAATATTATTCAAGACCGTTTCCAGTGTCTAATGAAAAATAATTCTTTACATAAACGTAGTAAATTCTATGTTTGTGAAATCTATAGGTGGTGGCCTGTATTTTCGATTCTAATCTTTTCCTGTTGGTATTGTACTTAGTGTTATAGAAGTCTTTTCAGACTGTACAGTTGGGAGTGCCTTAGTATGTCATACAGTTAGTGCAGAGTTGAGGCTTTGAAGACACAGATGGGAAAATAGCTGGAACAGGATTTTGAAAATGAGTAAGAATAACTTAAGAAATAAACTAGGAAAGGCAGTGATGCTTGTGGAAGTCCTCAGTTGGGTGATAAAGAAGAGCCTCTTACCTGGGGAGAAGTAGAAACATGCTCTAGGGAGGGATCTGAGCGATATCGGGAAGAGGGGTAGCCTGTTCCCCTTTAAGAACCTCAAAGAGGCTTATTTGGCTGGGAAGATCTCTGGGTTAAGTAAGAACTTTAGCTTTCTACTCTTGGCTGTGGTAGACATCTATATACAGATTCATTGGTTATTTTGTTTACTATCCCACCTGTGAGAATTAAGGTCTTGATTTTCCTTTGAAAACAAAAGGTTTTGTTTAGGTTGGCACTTGCCACCTCTGATCACTTTTTAAAAGACTTAAAATATTAGGACTTGTAAAAGACATTTGTATCTGAGAATCTAGTGCTTATGAAGAATTCATAAGCCTTTCCTTTCCCATACTCCCATCTTAATCTGCCTTTTTAACTTCATAGTGTGTGAGTTCGTTAACTATCTTTTAATTTTATTATGTATTTGTTTTTATTTGAACCTGGTCTCACTGTTTTTCCCTGGTTTGTCTGAAACTCTCTGTGTGAACTAGGCTAGCCTCAAACTCAGAGGTCTGTCTGCCTCTGCCTCTTCTTCCTGAGCACTGGGACTAAAGATGTGTGTCACCGTGTTCCATCTGGTTAATTCTCTTGTACAGAAGCAAAGATCTGAAAAGAATTAGGGTAGACTGCTGTGGTGTAAATGTTGCTGTCTGCCCTTTTCCTCCCACCAGGGAACTGCTCGCAGAAAGAAGAAGGTGGTTCACAGGACAGCCACAGCAGATGATAAAAAACTGCAGTTCTCCTTAAAGAAGTTAGGAGTGAACAATATCTCTGGTATTGAAGAGGTCAGTGTCAAAGCCTGAAGTGACGGCAAAGTTTTAATGGTCGTACATGAAGTAATTAATTGTCTCGCCCCTGCTGTTGTCAGGTAGTCTATGCCCCGTTAGATGTTTGAGCGTCGGGGAGATGGGAAGCCAGAAAGCTGTTTGCTTACACGTTCCAAGGAGATTGTCACCTGTACTGCAAAGGGGGAACCTCAGCCAGATTTTAGTTTAATGAAAACATTGATGTTTTTAAAAGAGTCTTTGGTGACTGTTACTTATAATAATCGTATTTTCTTTTTTACAGGTGAACATGTTTACAAACCAAGGGACAGTGATCCACTTTAACAACCCGAAAGTTCAGGCGTCTCTGGCAGCAAACACCTTCACCATTACAGGCCACGCTGAGACAAAGTGGCTGACAGAAATGCTTCCCAGCATCCTAAACCAGCTCGGAGCGGACAGTCTGACTAGTTTAAGGAGACTGGCTGAAGCTCTGCCCAAACAATGTGAGTATCCTCAGAGTCACATTTGTGTGATCTCAGGCCTCAGAATTGCTAAGAATGTCTTTAGATGTAGACTATCAACTTATTTACCTAAAGGAAAAACATACCCTTAATTGTTTTTATGTATTTGTGTTTACATACAGGAGACACTGTAGTGATGTGTCTAGTTTTTCTGTGATCATAATACTTGATTTAGTGGATGCTTATCTTTTACCAGCTTACTAGCTTTGAATCACACCAAAATTTTATCTTTATTTGTTAGAGATGAAAAACTGTTAATTTTGGGGTTTGCTGGTAGTTGAGAATTGACAGGCTGGGCATGGTGACCCACACTTGGTAACTAGAGAGAATAATAGGGTTCAGGATCAGCCTGGGCTACAGACATGCTGTCTCAGAAAAATAACACTCCATTTTCTTATTTATTGTTTGTTTTTTAGTTTTCGAGACAGGGTTTCTCTGTGTAGCTTTGCGCCTTTCCTGGAACTCACTTGGTAGCCCAGGCTGGCCTCGAACTCACAGAGATCCGCCTGGCTCTGCTGGTATTAAAGGCGTGCCACCACCACCCGGCCCCATTTTCTTATTTATAATCTTTGTGTTTGGTGATTTCTTGGGGGGGGGTCTTAATTATAAACACATGATAAATTATTGTTGATGTCAATGATAGCTGCCAATATTTTGGTGTTTCAAATTAATAGTTGGATTAGGGATTTTGTTTAGGGCAGGCTACAGCCTAATTGACTTCCATGTACATCAGGCTGTGTTCCCTTTTGATTTCTGTTGCAGTAAACACCATGACCAAAAGCATCTTGAGGAGAAAGGGATTATTTTGTTTGTTTGTTTTTTTCCCCCCATTGCACTTTACAGTTCATCTCGAAGGAAGGCAAGGCAGGAGCTTGAGGCAAACCATGGAGGAATGCTGCTATAGTGACTCATTCTCAGGCTCAGTTTCATAGCCTTTTTTCATTGTTACATGGATATATGTATACATTCCTAAATATACCTGCTTATGTGTATGTTTTCAGGGCTGACCATTTAGACCTGGACAGACTGTTTTTATCCCAGGCCAACCTGCCCAGAGATGGCACTAACCTACCATGGGCTGGTCCCTCCTGCATCCATTAGCAATAAAGAAAATGCCCCACAGGCATGCCACTAGGCTGATCTGATGGAAGCAATTCCTCATTTGTGGTTCCTTCTTCCCCCTGGGTGTCAAATTAACCAAGATTAGCTACCATAGGCGGCGTGACAACTTCATGCTCCATGTTTTGGCTTAAAAATTAAGAATATGAATGCAGAAGCGAGTCAAGAGGTTTATTCAGTGGCTTGCTGTTTCCTCAGCTGTTTGTTAGATGCTGGCTCATTTTATGCTTGGGGCGGGGCATCAAAATGTTTTAGGCCATCTTGAACTTCAAGATCAGCTTTTGAAATCCACTGATGGCTGTGCGGGTTAGAACTGTGGGCTCTTGGAACTCTCCTTTCTGTGTGACGAAAGTGGTCTGGGTGTGGGGGCCCATTCTGTAATGCCAGCCACTGGGAGGCTGAAATAGCATTACAAAGTGGAAATTGTGTTGAGGGCCTGGGCAGATTAAACTGTCTTATTTATGAAAAATAGGCCGGGTGGTGAAGCTCAGTGGTAGAGGTCTTGCTAGCTTATTCAGGGCCCCGAGTTCAGTTCATAGTATCTCACAAAGGAAAGGGAAGAAAAGAGGAACAGTGGATACTTAAGAGTTCAAAGATGCTTTAAATTTGGCCTTTTTGTTGGTTCTTCCCTTCTTGGCTTTTTGAGATAGGTCTCCCCATGTAGCCCTGGCTGGCCTGGAGTTCACTACAGTCTTGCCTTTGCATTTGAAGTTCTGTGGTTGATAGTTGTGAAGTCACCACATTTGGCTTGGTTTTTTCAATTATTTTATTTCAGTATTTATTGGGCTTTATTCCATGCACAGAATATTTAGGGAACTTGCTGGCCTCTTCATTTGCTTCCCAAAAGAAGCCTGACCATAATTGGGTGTGTGGTTTATCTGTACCCTGGGCACTCCCTGCTCACTGTACCGAGTTACTGTCTCCTGTGTTCTGGTCGTTCGTGCCCATCACAATTTCATGTTAGTGGCACTGTAGGGGAAACCACTTGCCATTGTGAGTGTAAGTTGTAACTTGGTGTTTGTTGATCTAAAGAAATTGGCTCGTTACATTATCATTTTTCTTTCACAGCTGTGGATGGAAAAGCACCACTTGCTACTGGAGAGGATGATGATGATGAAGTCCCAGGTAAGAATCACTTTGACAAGGGAGAAAAAGGAATCTTTGCAGAAAAAATGCCGGCATGGTGGTGGTGAGTTAAAGCCAGTGAATGTGGGGAAACAGGAACAGGACCCTCACTTAGGAACTGAAGCTACTCGGAAACACTGGTTTATTAAAAAGCATGGAGAAGTTGAGTAACTTGGTTAGCAGTGTTTTTCTTTTTTAGTTTGTTTGAAACATTGTTTCAATATGTAGCTTGAATTTGAGAACCTGACTCAGCCTCTTGAGTGCTGGGATTACAGACATGTGACACCATGTCCAACTAAATTATGTTGAGTTTATGTCCTGTGGAAGCATCAAAAAAATGCATACAATTTTCCACTTTTGACAAATATCCCTGAAACCTTGGAGAGACTCAGATCGTGCCATGGTAGTCTTTAGTTCTGTTCTGTTGATGAGTGGATTGTAGCTGGTTCTTAAACTGAGGGAGGATGAGTGATAAACAGAGTCTTAAGCATGATGCTCTCTGTCAGCTTGCCAGACCACACTTAACTGCCAAAGTGGTCTCATGGGAGGTGACAAGCTTAAATGTGAGATCATTTCCACAAATATCTGGTTTTTTTTTTTTTTTTTTGAGCAGGGGATCGAACCCAGGGCCCCAGCGCTCTTCCACTGAGCTAAATCCCCAACCCCCCAAATCTGTGTTATTTTGTAGAACTGGCTTTCTTTTTCCAGGATAACTGTTTGATTCTTTTTTAGATCTGGTGGAGAATTTTGATGAGGCGTCTAAGAACGAGGCAAACTAAACTGAGGCGACTTCTGGAGACGGTGACACCTGCAGAAGTTACAGGAGCTGCTGTTTTATATCATGACTGCTTTTTAAAATTCTTTTGTTTATGGATCTGATAAAATCTAGATCGCTAATATTTTTAAGCCCGAGCCCCTTGGACACCGCAGCTCTTTCAGTTTTTGCTTAAACACAATTCATTCTTTGCAGCAAATTAAGCTGAAGAAGCCTGGGAATAAAGTTTGGAAAAGGGTTAATAAAATTCTTTGCCTAGTATATGGTTTGTTTATTTATTTGGCACTGATCTATACATAGTGAGCAGTTGTCTATAGAAAGTTGGTCATGGTGTGGTCATACTGATAACATGTGGTGAAAATTCAACAATTAGTATGGAAGTGTTGGAGAGTTGCTCCTTCACCAACCCTGAGGGCTTCCACGCTCTGTGTGGTGGATGTGCTAAGAGGACAGGATTCTGGGGGTAAACTAGGGTGCTTTTTCTCTTGGTGTTTATTGTAAGCATATAATGTCTTTATGCATCTTTTTGTTTATTTGTTTTTGTTTTGCGAGACAGTTTCTCTGTGTAGCTTTGCGCCTTTCCTGGAACTCAGACTGGCCTCGATCTCACAGAGATCCGCCTGGCTCTGCCTCCCGAGTGCTGGGATTAAAGGCGTGTGCCACCACTGCCCGTCGCATCTCCTCTTTAAAGATTTGTGTGTGTGTGTATGTGTGTGTGTGTGTGTCTGTCTTTCTGTGCACCATGTGCATGCCTAGCATCTGCAGAGGTCAGAAGAGGGTACTGGATCCCTGAACTGGGTTTCCTTATGTACATGGTTGTGAGGCTCCATGTATGTGGGTGCTAGGAATGGAACCTGGGTCCTCTGGAAGAGCAGTGAGTGCTCTCAACTGCTGAGCCATCTCCAGCCCTGCATTTCAGTTAACACATCGTAAGTTTATGAGGTGTGAGCTAGTACCTCCATTTTGTATGTATAACCTGATACTTTCAGTTACTAATTTCCAAGGCTCTATGTCAACGGATGCCGTAACTGCCACCATCATGGCAATATTGACCAGGTCCATCATCCCCAGCAAGTTCCCGCAGCTGCTCAGCATTTGTGCACAGAGGAGAGCTGAGAACTGCCTTTGCTATGAATCGTTTTAAATGTGTGCTGTGGTTCGCACTTCCCCTTTTAAAGTGCTGTACAGCTGTGCTCCAGAATTGCTGTGCAGTTAGTTGTGCCGAATGGGAAGGTGGAACTTGCAGTTATCCTGTCATTCAAGGTAGACTGCTACAGTAACAAGGATCCTGAGGTCTCAACAGCTTAAAAACCCTAGTTACTCCAGACACTTAAGGGTGAGGTGGGATGTAAACACATTGCATCACTGCCTGCCCAGTGACGGGGCATTCCCTGACTCTGGCATAGGAAATAGGGTAAATCTGTCCCCTGGGAAAACTGTTTTAGAGTCCAAGCAAGTGGAATGGCTAAGCCCGAGTCCTGTGAGGGGGCCCTGAGAGTTTGCACTCCTGGGTAATGTTGCCATTTTTTAATAGGGGAGTTAGAAACATTCTCAGTTCACCCCAGGATGTCAGCTCTCGGGTGACAGTGACATACTCTGAGTTGGTAGAGATGGCTGCTGCCTGGCTGTGACTTAGAGCTATAGGAAGGGTTTCCAGCTGGGTCTGTCCCAGTACAGAAGTTAAACCTGTTCTGTCCCTAACCAGAGATGATTCCTCAGCCTCTGCAAGTGTTTTGGTGATTGTTCGCTGAGTGACCGACCGTGTGTTGGTAGCTGTGGATTAGTAAGGAAACAGTTCCATAATCTCCCATCATCAGGAAGAGCTTTGCTCCAAAGGTTCATCCAATTTGATGCCTGGTTTGCTTATGCTCTACTTTATTGCAGGAGCAGCATTTAATTAGAACCTTGCCAGCCTTGTGATGGAAAAGGTGGCACATCACCAGCTGGGAAGTGCTACATGTAATTACCACAGATTACATCAGCCAGAGGAGGCACTGTTCCTGTCTCCTGTTCAGAGTAGCTGGTGTTGGTAATAGCACAGTCTACCTTATTAGCCTTGCAGTTTTTCTTTGTCGATAATTTCTGGGGCTACTACTGGTAAAGAGCAGCATAATCACTTGTTTTCCTAATTATTAAAATCTTAAAGGAGGGCTGTGAACAGATGAAGAAAATGTAAGATGTAAAATTACTTGTCTGAGTGAGTTTCAGCCCCTTTAGTAGAATAAGATTCAAACCCAGGCCACTACCTACCAGGAAGAATTTTAGGCCCTGGCAGGTTAAAGGAGAAGACTATTGTCTTGCTGATGATTTCTTGCCTGTTGGTTAAGGCTGGTTTTCTCCTAGCCATCAGGAAAATGCAAATTGAACTACTTAGAGGGAGCACTTCGCTCAGTCAAAATGGCCACCTTCAAGAAACGCTGGCAAGGATGTGGGAAAGAGGAGGCCTTAATTACAGTTGGTGGGAGTGCAAATGACTACAGCCATTATGGAATCAATAAGGGTGTTCCCCCAAAAAGTAAAACTACCATATGACCCAGCTGTACTATTCCTGGCTATATATACTCAGAGAATTCGGTATCCTACCAAAAAGATACTTGTACATGCAAGCTCATTGCTGCTGTGTTCACAAGGGCAAGGAGATGGACCAACCTAGATGCTCATCCACAGATGGGTAATGAAAACTGGTATGTGTACTTGATGGAATTTTATTCCACTGTAAAGATAAAAAAAAAAAATCCAGGAAAACAGGTGGATCTAGAAAGCACACATTAAGCTAGGTGACCCAAACTCAGACAAAAACTACATTCTCTAGTATGCAGATCCTAACTTGTAATACATACCTGAATATAGACATGAGCATGAATATAAAGCCTTCAAAGACTAGGAAAGAGGGTAAGGAGATGTTGAAGAAGGGGTGGTGGGGACAAGAGGAGACATCCAAATGGGAAGGAGACTTCAGGGGAAGTTAGAGTGTGGAGGCTATCTACTAAAACACTTTATGAAAAATGCCATAATGACATCTTAATACTTTATGTGCTAATTTAAAAACAAATTTTCAAAACTTAAGATCTGAAACCAGGGCTGTACACTAGTGAAATAGACATCTCCATCTGAAAGTTCTTAGGGTGACTGTCTTCATACTGGTTAAAAGCACACGTGTGTGCTTCCCACAGAACCCTGTGGCTATTTGGAAACAGGTTTAGAACAGAGACCTACAGCTGCAGCTGCATTCTGCCTGCTTCCTTTGCTAACAGGGGGCACAGGTTCTTCCCTACCCTACATTCCAGGAAAGTAAACACAGGAGACAGACGTACCACTACTTGGAAAGAAGTCTTAAGACAAAAACATTTTTCAGCTTTTCCAAAACCCCCGATTCTAAACCTAATCGTTGCACAGGTTTTCATCACTCCAGTCAGCACAGTCTTGGATGCCGTTTCTGCAGCGACTTCTGGGAATGCAGGCACAGTCAGCGAAGAAAACAGTGTCACATCTCCAGCCTGGGCATGCTGGGCACTGCGAAACTAGACAATGGTATTTATTTTTAAAAGCCTAACTTAAAATGTCAACTGGAAAAAAAAATAGCCCTTTAGGTTTAAAAAAATATTAGTGAAACTATCTCCTGGGAAAACTGCAGATGATTATTGAAGAGTCTATACATAGTTTGAAAAGCCAGAGACGATACTGCCTCTCCCCATCAGCCCAAAGTAAACATACCGACATACTACATAAACAGGCAAGGGTCCCCTTGAGTTGGGGCAGTCAGTCAACAGGGGAACCAGGTCTTGGCTAATTGGCAGCTAGCCAGAAGCAAAGACTTTGTGTGTGTGTGTGTGTGTGTGTGTGTGTGTGTGTGTGTGTGTGTGTGTGTGTGTGTGTGTATGTGTATGTGGTTTTTTTTCCCAAGACAGGGTTTCTCTGTGTAGCTTTGGAGCCTGTCCTGGAACTAGACCTGTAGACCAGGCTGGCATTGAACTCAGCAATCTGCCTGCCTCTGCCTCCTGAGTGCCGGGATTAAAGGCAGGCGAGCATCACTGCTGGGCTGCAAAGGCCCTCTTTACACTTCCATCCCTTTGTTACAGAGCCAGACTTCTTAACTACAAGGATGCATTTCCATCCTATCCATCACTGGCAAAGAGCTGATCTTCCGTTCTGTGTGTGTTTCTGACGAAGCTTTGCAATATATCAACTGGAGCCATCATGCACTGGAATTGTGTTTACCGGCTGGGGCCTTGCCTGCCTGTGAAATGGGATGGGTGCAGCTCAGTGTTAAGCCATGTTGGAACATGTTGGGGACAAGGATGGCAGTGAGGAAGAAAAGACAAAGTTAGCAGCTACTTTTCTGAGAGCTGAAGCATTGAACAAACTCTCCGCAGATCTTCCAAAACTGCCAAAGAAACCCAAATCAAAGTTGATAGGAGAGATGCCGGGCGGTGGTGGCGCACGCCTTTAATCCCAGCACTCGGGAGGCAGAGCCAGGTGGATCGCTGTGAGTTCGAGGCCAGCCTGGGCTACCAA